GAAAAAGGGGAACGCTACTGCAGCTGCCTGCGGATCCATTCACCTCGCACTTCTGTCAGGTTAATGTACTGTTTGCTTTCGAGGTATATCAGTACGCACTGACTTTGACAATTCTTATAAAAAACATACTCCTTTCCATGCTATTCGCCTTCGGGGGGGGGACGAGAGGGGACGGCTAGTCCTCTCCTAGATCTTCTCTTCCTAGTTCCTGTTGACTTCCACCTCACATCTCCGTGGGACCTGTCGTCTCTTATGAAGTGTAGAGGAAGATCGTGCTGTTGCCTAGCCGTACAAGAGTTTACAGGTCTCCATAGTAGGCAATGATAGATGGGAATCAGCAAAATGCCCCAGCCACGTCGAACTGCGCCCTCCACGAAGGTATTACTTCCAGGAGAGGTGAAACTTCTGCAGAAGATGCATCATCCGATGATAATCGGCTACTATGACTACTTCGTATTTGAGAATCAGCTCGCTATTGTTATGCAATACGCTGAGGGTGGCACTATGGAACGGCTTGTGCAAGATCAGAAAGGTCAGATCTTCATATGTTAAATGCCTCTCGAATGTGGCCGAAGTGGCCGACGCAAAAATTATTTGACCGTCGAAATAGATGTCTTCTAACCATCGGTACTTCTAGGAGTCAACTTTCCCGAGTCGCAAGTGCTGAATTACTTTACTCAGGTGAGAACACATTTCTTCGTAGTAGAACAATATTCTTAGATGGAATCGTCTTTAATTATTCTGAAATCCTTCAACTGACTATTCTTGATATCAATCTAATTTTATTCTTCATTGAACAAAAAAAGGCACCTGGGTTCCTTCGTATGTGGGATTTCTTGGTGTATTGTTCAGACCGAATTCCTCCATAGTTCATGCGTCAAGCTTTTTGTGCCCCAAAGACACACTGTACGAATAGCTGCGAGGAGCATTCACTCCATGTGCAAGACGAGCAGGCACACAACCATCTAAGTGCCGCACTTTCAGCACTCTAATGTAAGATGCGCAGAGATGAAACGGACGATTTCGATGTCTGGATCTTCTTTTCGTATCTGTTCGCTATCAAAAACGCCATACGCGCGCGCCACACGTTACGAGCATATCACCAGTACACTTGCGGGACCCAGACGGCCGGTCTCTTGACCAACGTCTGGCACGCTGCTGAAGTGGACTATAGAGAGTATCGGTGCCTCAATTGAGCGCGAGAGGGTGAACACCACCAGCGAGTTCGGATGTGGATAGGCATAATACTGGCCGTGCGATTTGTTGCGTGTCTGTGTCTTCTCGTCCCGTAATGTGTGGCGAAACCAGGATGAATAGATGAGACGTAAAGCACATCCAGTTGTCACAACCGTCCAACGCCTTTCGTGTACTTTCTAGCGGCAAAAAGACCCCCTTCCATAGATCCAGTCTTTGGAGTCAGTCGGGACGTTTCAGTGGCGCGTGGGCTCCTGGTCCAACGCGCCACTGAAACGGCGCCAACTTTCTTCCCACCACTCCCTGACAGGGTACAACATCGTTGTGTGAAAACATAGTGAGGGTTGTACTTTTCTTCTTTCTCTGGGGAGTGGGGTCGTATTTGGTCGTTGGGAGAGAGAGGGGGGGGAGGTCGTATGTGCCTTTGAGAGAAATTTGTCGCGTTGGTTTTCCGGTTGTTGACTTTTTGCGTGATTTTTCCTGTTTCATGTGTTCCCCCCCCCCCCGCTCGACAGCAAAATTTTTGG